CATTTTTTTGGCATTTTGCCTTATATTATAAAAATTATAATTGATCGATAGATAGAAACTTAAAAATAAAAAATGATAAGCAAGACATGATCTACTAGCAAGTAAAATTTTGCTGATATAATTTGTAGACTGTTACTCTTTATAGGAGTTTTTTTACCCTTTTTATACGACCGCAAAAAAATTTTGGGATCGTATATTGGTATGACGTTGGCGTCGTCGTTGTTGTCGTCGTCCGAAGACACATTGGTTTTCGCACTCTAACTTTAGTTTAAGTAAATGGATCTCTATGAAATTTTACCATAAGGTTCAATACCACAAAAGGAAGGTTGGGATTGATTTTGGGGGTTATGGTACCAACAGTTAAGGAATTAGGGGCCTAAAAGGGGCCAAAAATAATTTCTTCAAATAAATTTTTTTTTCAAATTTCAAATATTGAAAAATTTCAAGAAGTAATCTTTAATTGCACAGTATGGCGCATTCGATTTGTAAAATCTTTGACCACATTTATTTATTTGTTATGCCAAATCTGACCGTGTATTTAGATTTTAAATTATGGGTCCCGTTTTTATACGACCGCAAAAAAAATTTGTGGTCGTATATTGGTATGACGTTGGCGTTGTCGTCGTCGTCGTCCGAAGACACATTGGTTTTCGCACTCTAACTTTAGTTTAAGTGAATGGATCTTTTTGAAATTTGACCATAAGGTTAAATACCACAAAAGGAAGGTTGGGATTGATTTTGGGGATTATTGTAACAACAGTTAAGGAATTAGGGGCCAAAAAGGGGCCAAAAATAAGCATTTTCTAGTTTCCAGACAATAACTGTGGAACGGTGTATGGATCTCTCTGAAATTATACTACAAGTTTCCATACCACAAAGGGATGGTTAGGATTTGCTTTTGGGGGTTATGGCTCAAACCGTTTAGGAATTAGGGGCAAAAAAGGGGGGAAAACAAGGTTTTCCTGGTTAATGGACAAATACTGTAGTACAAAACATAATTTAAAGCAGTGTAAGGGAGATAAATCAAATACATCATTGAAATTATCTCCCTTACACTGCTTTTAAATTATGTATAAAGTAATGGTTAATGAACAATAAAGATAATTTAAAACAGTGTAAGGGAGGTAATCCAAATACAACGTTTTGGTTACTTCCCTTACACTGCTTTTAAATTATGTTTAAAGAAATGCATAATTATAAAGGAAGACCAGTAAAAATATCTGCAAATGTTGCATCTTTTTTTTTTACAAAAAAATCCACATATGAAAGATTTGACACTATATTTTTAATTCTATTATAAAATAGATTAAGTTAGCACTATGGTAAATTTAAATGGGTAATTATGGTTGCAAACTCCATTGGAAATTTGAATTGAGATTATGACCATATCTTGAGGGAAAGAATTTTTGGGGGAAAAAAGGGGGGGGGGATAAAAAGAAATTGTGGGGGGTCAATTTTTTCTCATTCAGATTTCAGAAATTAAAAAGAATTATTCTTCAAATATTATTTTTTTTTCAAATTTCAAATATTGAAAAATTTCAAGAAGTAATCTTTAATTGCACAGTATGGCGCATTAGATTTGTAAAATCTTTGATCACATTTATTTATTTGTTATGCCGAATCTAACAGTGTATTTAGATTTTAAATTTTGGGTCCAGTTTTCAAATTGGTCTACATTAAGGTCCAAAGGGTCCAAAATTAAACTTTGTTTGATTTTAGCAAAAATTGAATATATGAGGTTCTTTGATATGCTGAAACTAAACATGTATTTAGATTTTTGATTTTTGGCCCAGTTTTCAAGTTGGTCCAAATCGGGGTCCAAAATTAAACTTTGTTTGATTTCAACAAAAATTGAATATATGGGGTTCTTTGATATGCTGAATCTAACCATGTATTTAGATTTTTTATTTGTGGACCCCGTTATCAAATTGGTTCATATTGAGGTCAAAAGGGTCCAAAATTAAACTTTGTTTGATTTCATCTAAAATTGAATTATTGGGGTTCTTTGATATTCCAAATCTAACCGTGTATTTAGATTTTTAATTTTGGGTCCTGATTTTTAAATTGGTCTACATTAAGGTCCAAAGGGTCCAAAATTGAACTTAGTTTGATTTTAACAAAAATTGAATTCTTGGGGTTCTTTGATATGCTGAATCTAAACATGTGTTTAGATTTTTGATTATGGGCCCAGTTTTCAAGTTGGTCCAAGATAGGGTCCAGTATTTAAACTTTGTTTGATTTCAACAAAAATTGATTATATGGGGTTCTTTGATATGCTGAATTTAAACATGTATTTAGATTTTTGATTATGGGCCCAGTTTTCAAGTTGGTCCAAATTGGGGTCCAAAATTAAACTTTGTTTGATTTCAACAAAAATTGAATATATGAGGTTCTTTGATATGCTGAATCTAACCATGTATTTAGATTTTTTATTTGTGGGCCCCGCTATCAAATTGGTTCATATTGAGGTCCAAAGGGTCCAAAATTAAACTTAGTTTGATTTAAAAAAAATTAAATTCTTGAGGTTCTTTGATATGCTGAATCTAAACATGTGTTTAGATTTTTGATTATGGGCCCAGTTTTCAAGTTGGTCCAAGTTGGGGTCCTAAATTAAACTTTTTTTGATTTCAACAAAAATTGACTATATAGGGTTCTTTGATATGCTGAATCTAACCATGAATTTAGATTTTTTATTTGTGGGCCCCGCTATCAAATTGTTTTATATTGAGGTCAAAAGGGTCCAAAATTAAACTTTGTTTGATTTCATCAAAAATTGAATTATTGGGGTTCTTTGATATTCCAAATCTAACCGTGTATTTAGATTTTTTAATTTTAAGTCCCGTTTTTGAAATTGGTCTACATTAAGGTCCAAAGGGTCCAAAATTAAACTTAGTTTGATTTTAGCAAAAATTGAATTCTTGGGGTTCTTTGTGTTTAGATTTTTGATTATGGGCCCAGTTTTCAAGTTTGTCCAAGTTGGGGTCCAAAATTAAACTTTGTTTGATTTTAACAAAAATTGAATATATGGGGTTCTTTGATATGCTGAATCTAACCATTTATTTTGATTTTTGACATTGTAAATTAAAAAAATTCAAGTTCTTAGACCACATTCTTTCTGTGTCAGAAACCTATGCTGTGTCAAATATTTAATAACAATCCAAATTCAGAGCTGTATCAAGCTTGAATGTTGTGTCCATACTTGCCCCAACTGTTCAGGGTTGGACCTCTGCGGTCGTATCAAGCTGTGCCCCAGCGAAGCATTTTATTTAAATTGGTCTACATTAAGGTCCAAAGGGTTCAAAATTAAACTTAGTTTGATTTTAACAAAAATTGAATTCTTGGGGTTCTTTGATATGCTGAATCTAAACATGTGTTTAGATTTTTGATTATGGGCCCAGTTTTCAAGTTGGTCCAAGTTGGGGTCCAAAATTAAACTTTGTTTGATTTTAACAAAAATTGAATTTATGGGGTTCTTTGATATGCTGAATCTAACCATGTATTTTGATTTTTGGGCCCCATTATCAAATTGGTCCACATTGAGGTCAAAAGGGTCCAAAATTAAACTTTGTTTGATTTCATCAAAAATTTAATTCTTTGGGTTCTTTGATATGCTAAATCTAACCATGTATTTAGATTTTGGATATTGGACCATAATAGGTAAATTGAAAAATTTTAAGTTCTTAGACCACATTCATTCTGTGTCAGAAACCTATGCTGTGTCAAATATTTAATCACAATCCAAATTCAGAGCTGTATCAAGCTTGAATGTTGTGTCCATACTTGCCCCAACTGTTCAGGGTTCGACCTCTGCGGTCATATCAAGCTGCGCCCAGCGGAGCATTTTATTTGTGTTTGGAGCAAAAGCTAAATAAGATCATGAAGATTGAGAGAAACTAAACAGACTTCAATGATCAGCAATATAAGATCCAAAAAAAAAAACAGAGATTTTTGTCATTAATTCTATTCTTATACAATGTTGGAGAGTGAATGTCCTTTGTTGATTATGCATATAGACCAAGGTGAGTGACACAGGCTCTTTAGAGCCTCTAGTTTAGTTATTGCCCTTGTACCTTGGATAGATAAAATATGTGCAATGCGGGGGACATGAGAACTCTGTTCTTTTATTTTAATAATGAAATTAGTGCAGAAAAGATTTTTTGGATGATAAAAACCCAAGAAGTTTACTTGGTATTGGAATCAAAATAAGGTATATAGTCACATGTAAAATAGTTTGAGATAGGTATTAATTTTGAGGTAACTCCTCTCACATTCTAGCTTGATGTTAGCTCACCATTTAAATTTTACAAAAAGATATATTACATTTTTATATGTTTCTGTCTTATCATGTCTATATCATATGTGTTGGTTTGAAAGACAGTAGTTTATCCTTTCTACAAAGGAGGATGTATACTGGTTGGCCTCTGTCTGTCTGTCTATATTTGTGTTGCATATTCTCAGCAACTACAAGTCATAGCTGCTTGAAATGTGGCACCTAGCTTCATCAGGTTATGCCTTACTGAGTGACATATTATCTGTTCTTTCAATAACCTACTTCCTATTTGCCAAAAAAATATATATCTTTAAAATGTCATGCACAAACAGTGTAAATTAAATTTTCTACACATTTTTCTCTTCAATAACAAGTCATAACTTTTTGAAATATGACACCATGCTTCATCTAGTTATTCCATACTGTGTAACAGATTTTCAGCTCCTTAGATGTTCTACTTCTTGTTTGCCCAAAACTTGTATCTTTTAAATGTCACTCACATAATCACATTTATGACATGTTTGTCAACATGAATTCAGGGGATGATTTGCAATGATAGAACATTTTGTTTACTAAAGTTTTGACACAACTGGAATATAAGAATACCAGTTTAAATAAATTGGATCTCATAAATGAATTCAGTAGAATTCTGATATTATTATCATAAAGCATCTTTTGGGCAGATCTACTACAGATCTTTCACATATTTATGAATTTATTTTTATTTTAGGTTCACAAAGTGAAAAAATTCTTAGAGGCTTATATTCGAGTAGAAGAAAAAGATCGTATGCACACACTGAACCATTTCACACATGTCAGACGCAGTGATCCAGCTGAAGCCCAGCACATGCAAAAAGACACATCTGAACATTTGAAAGTAATTGATGAGAGAATAAAACAGAGTCTGGATATGTTGCATCATTACAAGAAAATAGAAAAAGAAATCCTTTCTGACATAAGTATGTAACTATGCTATTGTGTGTGGTATTATATTTTCTTTTCAGTTTTATCATTGTTGCCTGGTGTAATATGGTATTTTGACCCCAACATTACCAAGTTATAATGGAAAATTGACCTGGGGTTCAGTTTGTCAAAATTATATCAAAACTGATTAAGTTCAAAAGGTTTTTGAGCAGAAAATCATCAGAACTGCATACTCACAAGTGTGTATGTGTGCTCAGATATGTAACTTATATATAATAATTATGCAGCCAAAAGCTTTCAAAATAGATAATATCAGTTTTTGTCTCTCTTCGATTAACATGATTAAGGCAATAAAGCGAGACTTAGGCGTGCCGTTTCTTGGGGCAGCAGGAAACAACAGCAATGTTTGTGATTAGATTAGCTTATAAGGGAACCACTGCTATTTGGTATGCAGTTGTATAATCATTGACCCATCTCATTTCCATGGAGATTATTTGGCCCAACTCTCTCAGTGATGGTACCATTGACCTTGCAACATTTGCTTAGTTTACATATATATATAAGTTTGTGATTAGGTTAGCTATAAGGGAACCCTGGTATTTAGTATGCAGTTGTATTAGCATTGGCACATCTCATTTCCATGTAGACTATTTGGCCCCGACCCCTCAGTCATGGGCTATTGACTTTCCAACTTTTGCTTAGTTTACATGTATTAGTTTGTGATAAAGGTCAGTTTAAGAGAAACTATTAAAGGTAGGTCAATGATATTTGGTATTCAGATGTATTAGCATTGGCAAATCTCATTTCCAAGGAGATTATTTTGCTCCTCTCCCTCAGTCATGGTCTATTGACTTTGAATAATTTCCATAGTTTACAATGTTAAAGTTTGTGATTAGATCAGTTTAAGATGAACCATTAAATCAATGATATTTGGTATGCAGTTATACATGTTATATAAGCATTTGCAAGTCTCATTTCCATTATATTGCCCGACCCATCATCATGGCTCATTGACTTTAAAACTTTTACATAGTTTACATTTTAAAGTTGGTGTTTAGGTTAGTTTAAAGGGAACCACTTAATATGATAAGTCAATGGTATTTGGTATGTAGTTTTATAAGCATTGGCATTTCTCATTTCCATTGAGGTTATTTGGCCCTGCAACATACCCGCCAACTTTTCAAATCTCCATCAGGGATTTTAAGAGCAAGAGGAACTAATGCTTCACTAATATTGTCATAAGTGTTTTTAATGTACTACTCTATTGTTTGAATGAATATTTGTGTGCTTAAATACCCTTTCTACTCATTTGAATGCCTATTTTGAGGTGTTTAGTTTATATAATAACGAATTTCAATATTCAGTTCAACTCCTCTCATGGGGGAAATCCCCAATAAATCATGAAGGTTGGCAGGTCTGTTGCAACTTTGTTCATGGTTCATTGACTTTGAATGTTTTGCATAATTTACATGTTTAAATATTGCCATTTTAATTTCAACATTTGCATTACACAATTAAAATTACAAACAGCTCGACATATCTCTGTGTCAACAGTTTATTTATGTTTATTTCAAATAACACTACTGGACGAAAAAACAACTGTCCATACCAGTAACAGTGGTTCTAAGACTGATAATGTTTGTTAAAGTTGTAACAGTTGTTAAATTTCACTGTTGCAGTTATTTTGTAACTGTCCCAACTTTAAAAGTGTTTGTCTATAACATAAATCGACTGCAACAACGCTAGAAATAACTGTCACAGTCATTAAAGGACTGATACAACTATTTCAAAGTTGTAACAGTTGATTTACAATTGTCCCAACTCGAAAAACGTTGTAACAGTCATAAATAAACTGATTAAACGCCTAAAAGGTTGTCACAGTCATAATAAGACTGCTGCAACCATTTGAAAATTGTAACAGTTATTTAATAACTGTCCCAACACGGAAAACGTTGAAACAGTCATAAATAAACTGTTTAAACGCTGAAAAGGTTGTAACAGTAAATATATGATTGCTACAACCATTACATAGTCATAGCTAATTTATAAGTGTAGCAACTTCCAAACATTAATCGTCATTAAGACTTAAAAGTCACGGATACGAAATTTCTGACAGTCAGGGATAGGTTAAATTATTTGTAAAACAATTTTACCGTGTGCAATATAAGGTTGTGACAAAGAGATACAACTATCACACCCATTTAATACATTAATTTTAGAAAGAAATTGATTTAAAAAAAAATAGTATTTTGAAATATTTGCCGCTGAACATTTTGGTATTCCCCGCTTTTTAGTGAATGTGCTAAATTTATATAATTATTTAACACTCCCTCGCCTCTCATCTCATCCTGAGACTACTATCAGTCTCATCGAACAAAATCGGAACCAGCACTAAATACCTGCAATTTCACACAGGACGGTTTTATTCGCATTTAAAACTACTAATAGATAAATCGAAAAAGTTTACCCAATATATTTGTAACCAAATGTATCTTTAACTGTATTTACAGTTGACAATTTTCAATATTATCTAAATAAAAACTTTTTTATTTTTTTAAATTAGTTAGGTGTGAAATCATTCATGAATACAAGGTTGTCTTCAATACTCGTAGTTTTACGAATCACATTACTTCATAATAACGATTAATATACATGATATACTGTAAACCTAGCGGGGAACTCCGAATATACACACTTGTCAAACTTATCCCCATATTAAACTGCTTAATTTTTTCCCGAGGGCTTATTTTACACACTTATTTTGAGCTTTTATTTGGGGCTACATTTTTTTTCTTGCAAAATTATAAATATTACCGTTACGGTATTAACCATTTTGATTTCTATACATATAAAAAAAAATCAAAGCTATGATGAACATTTAACGCATCTTTTGCAGCTATGGAAAAACTAAAATACTCTTAAATCTATCTAAATTTAATTTATTTTACTATATTTTATTTTTTAATAATTCAATATTGACTGGACTTTGTACTGTATATTGTAACGAGTGGTCTATTTGAAGTTCAAATGTCCTTGATAAATAGCACTTCGGCATTCATTCATGATTGATTGAGGTAAAAATATTATCACTCGAGATCATTCATATTTTCGCCGGATTTTTTTCTCAACCAATTTATCAAAAATATTTATGAATAGATGGACGTACTATACAAGACCGACAAGATAACTAGCGCCAGTGAAAGTTGAAATGTTCAAAACAAGAAAACTCGCATTGTTTCAGACAAGGAAATCAAATCTTCTTTTATTTATTCACATAACGGTTTAGAACTTGTTGTATTCTTTAGACTCTGGTCTTGTTAAATTCTACAGACTGACGTCAGATTCTCTTTTGTGGTTTCAGTTGATCAGATGTCGCACTAACCATGCTAACGTTTATCCAAAATATTTTCCAATTTCCATTTTTTAAATTCAATTTATTTAATCATATAAATACTTGTATATATATTATTCAACCAGTAAAGAAAAACAATTGTACTAGATGTAATGGAAATTTTAAAATGGTCACATTTATAAATTAGGCAAATGGGTCCATTAATCTAATTATATTCATCTTCAATCAGTGATGAAAACAGTACATATGTATTACCAGCAGAACTTATTTGGGCACCCCTTAGAAAAAAAAATCATTGATTAATTAAATCATACATTTTTTTTACTCAGTTTAAAAGAAGGGTGGACTGAAAATAAGTATTCTGGCCCTGGTCTGAGTGAAAATATATAATCTGGCTGCCTATATGTTGGAAATTAATATTCTGACCTTATCAAATTTGCCAATTCAGTTGCTAACTTCTATGTCATTGGGTTTTCGTGAAAAATTGTCTAATTTGTAAACAAGTACCACATCATTTTATTTATTAAATAATGATCTTATTAACAAAATTGCAGTTCTATTTAACATTGTTGTTTCGATATTTTAAGCAATTATGATTTCAGCCCTGTATCACCATCAATGATCACTTGTTCTCCAATGGATGAATCTGTCGTAAAGTTTTCACGTGTTTAGACGTATAGATATATGTTGACCTCTAGATTGATATTTAGTTGTTGTTGGGTTGATGTCATATAGTAGCAGTTTACTCAATTTCACCAGTTTATTATCATATTTTTTAGTCTATTTGTCATGTTTGTATTACATAGGCTTTTCACACCATGCTATATACATGTATAATGTACAATCATAGTCGATACATTAATTCTAATTGTACAGCCACAAAAAAATGTCCAATTCTCATCCCTTTCTTGAAACCACTTTTGTATATTTTTTTTTTCATTTCAGGTTGGTTTTTTTCTTTTGCTAGAAGTTTTAAAATCATAGCAAATTAAAACCTCCAAAATATGCTTCCACACATAAATATTATAATTAAATTATAACAAACCTGACAAACAGCTCACTAATAGTGTATAATACATGTATGCCTTTGTAATGCTTATTGTGTATATTGAAAATGTTGCTAAACATCTTGGGATATATATTTAGAAGGCATTTATTCAAAAGCAGATAAAATGGATTTGTAGAAAAACATGAGAATAACATGAATAAGGGCAGAAGCCTGTTAATATTGGATCACCTATAAGTCTTTGGTAAACCATAATACATTTGTCATCACTCATGTTTCAAAGGGGTCTGTAAACATGATAAAATGGGAGACATCAGAAATGATCATCCAGGAACAATTTTTTCAAATTCTAAACATGCTTAACTGTAATTTTGAGGCCCTATATAGCTTGCTGTTCGGTGTGAGCCAAGGCTATGTGTTGAAGACTGTACTTTGACCTATAATGGTTTACTTTTTCAAAATTTTTTACTTGGATGGAAAGTTGTCTCATTGGCAATCATACAACATCTTCTTATAAAATTGAGAATGGAAATGGGGAATGTGTCAAAGAGACAACAACCCGACCATAGAGCAGACAAGATTTTTTATATCTATTAACTGACCCAATTTTATTGCCAACTGATTGTTTTTTGCTTTTGTATATAAATCAAACTTGGGTTTCTCATCTAAACTTGTTT